GGAGCCTTTGTGAATGGTGTGAAAAGGAAACCTAAAGGAAACCACCTACCTAGAGGAGTCCCCAATTTCGAGAAACACCAATATCTGAGCCACATGTTCCGTGTTTCAAGCAACGCAACAAGTTGAGCTTTACCAATGAAGAATCGCTTTGCTCAGTTACGCAAGCAACAGTCAAAATTGCCCCCCAAATGATGCCATAGATTATGCTTGTTTCGCCTTGCCGAACTGAACTGCACGGTGCCCGGCTAGATCGCGTGACACCGGCAGAATGAACTGCGTAACTAAAGAATCCCGCGCTGCGCTGCAATGCGCTGCATATAACCCAACTCGCCTTGACTTCATCTTGGCGGTTCTTCTTCTGCTGCTGGAATTGTCCAGCCTGCCCGGTACGTTCATGCTGGAAGCGGGAGAACCATCTTGACTGGAATTGGAGGCCTGAAAGAAGTGCGTGATTTGGCTGGGTCGATGAGAAACAATGAGAACGTAACAACTTTATCAGGACTGTCATTGAACGTCCCGTATGGCCAGCCAAACCCAACCAGCCAGCAAAGTGGGGGTAAGGTACCAACCAACAAGCGTGCACCAAGCGCATTCCAGAGCCTTCTCCATGCAGCCACGCTCCACCTCCACTAAATACCTGGTGACGTTTTGCAATGGGCATGGATCTCAACAGCAATTTGTGATGCATCGGGTTTCGCTCACCTGGCCAAATGTCCGCTTTTACGCAACCAAACTAAGAAACTGACACTGACCGACTTCATTGTGTTCCCGACAACTAGACATCGGCCCTCCCTGCCAGCTCGCAGAAAATCTGTGCCAGGGCTCCCCTTTACTGCCAAGGCTCCCCTTTACCCCTGGCCGCTTCTCTTGAGAACTCTGAGAGGAACATGCACTTAGGCCGCCCACTCCTTGGCCGTCTTCAAGTCCTGGGCTACTGGGGCGGGTCCCGTGAGGAAACTCCGAAGGCGAAAGCCCTTGTGCTGATTTCGTAGGTTGCACAGTGGCAAACCATGTACTAAGTCCTAAATACCTTCAATCAATCCGCCTTGAACAACTTTCTCATTCTGAGCCGAGTAGGCAATCTCAAAGGTGCTCTGCTTGTGGCGATGCCTATGTAAGCAAGGGGAACTCGAGGAAAAACAGGGATCGTGATGAGAGTAGCGCCAACGTGGAGCTCAATGGTATGATGGGCGAGCCAGAAGTGTTCGATCCGGATGAGTTGAAGCCGGGCGGATGCCCCGTTGGATCCCACGGGAGTGCTGCCAACCTTGTACCAACATGTTTGTTGGCCAAACACCCCTTTCTTGCTTGGGGAAGTCGCTTCCTCTTCCCAAACAACACCGAAGCACAAAACATTCTTGCAATCTCAAAAGCATGTTTCAGCGGGAAGAAACAAACCCCCGCAGGACCAGCATTCTCACACCCAGTCTCCTGGTTGCAAACTCCAAGCTCACCCTCAGCACTGGCCTGCGCATGGGGCTTGGTGTTTGCCAAAATATGGCCCTTTGAGGCAGAAAGATCACCGCCAAGAATTCGTCCTATTCGTCGCATGTGCCGTCTGCGACAGAAACCGGTTCCCTGCTCCATCCACAAAACGACACCCCCGCTCCCCCTCACAGCAGAAAGCCCACGCCTTGGCCGCTGTGGCGTCCGCCAGGGCCTTCTTTGTACTCTCCAGGTCCTGCAAGCGTGCCACTTTCTGAGAAATGAACGACTCCAATTGTTTGAGAAATGTTTAGTTCAGTGGCTGGCGATGTGAGGATGCGAATGCAAGGCACACAAGCTGTGCAGCGCCCGCCTGCTTCACGGCCCTGATCTTACCCTCTAGCGCCTGAGAGACGCGCGCTTTCCTTCTCTCCCTTCCTTCTACTTCCTCGTTTTCCTTCTCTCTCTGACCGCCAACAAGTGACTGGAGCGGGTTAGCTAAGCCGATACGAAACACAGGCCCTGGCGCATTGGTGAAAGCGCTTGGTCGCCCCACAACGAGCAAGGCGAGCCCAGCTTGAATGAGGCCTTGCTCCCATATTGGAACTCTGACTCGAAGACTCTGCCTGGAGTCTATATCTTACTGCACTGCGCTAGCTGCGCCTGACGGGACTTCCAACCCTCTCCGGGCCTAGAAGCCATGTGCTGCTTGCGGTTGCAGAGTGCTACTTGTTCGCCCGATAAGGAATGTGTTCGCGCTTGAAACCGCTTTCAGCGGCAAGAACACGTACAACGTGTTATTATTGCTGAAGGAGGCTGTGGGACAGTTCAGTTGTCCCTTCTTTCGGTAAAACAGCTTGTCCCCTGCAAAACTGCGCTTCAGTGCACGGCTTCATGGCCACGTGCACATGACACAGATATGTCCTGTGAATCCATGCAAGAAACCAACAGTCACCTGCATGGATTCATGACAAGAAGACCGCCGTGTCTAAAGACGCTCGGCGGCACGTTGCTCTTCTTAGGCAGTGAAACTCAAGCTTCACCCTGCTCAACCGAGGCTGTCCATGAAGTTCAATCGGTGGAATCCGAGCATCCAGCATTCTTCAGCTTCATGTAGTCCGATTGCAGGCGCTGCTCCTTGCGCAAGAAGGCGCTCCACAGGCGCGATCCAAGCGTCTGTCGGTCAGCCTCTCGAAATCCAGATTTTAATCGCTATCCTAAGATTCAAATTCTCGTCACAGGCTGAACCCATTGCATGGGTTCGGTCCATGGCCCGTGGAAACCCATTGCCCACCCCATCGGCGAGCCTTCTGTCGCGCTGCATCCAGCGAGGCCTGAGACTTTGCCTGGCCGAAACATGACAAGACTACTCCCAAACAGAAAGACGATATGATGTGCTCGGTGGGATGTTTACTTTGGGATCCTCACATCAATTGAAGTGCAAATTTGTGTCACTCCGCATGTTTTGAGCACGTTGCTAGGGCTCGGGTCGTTATTTTGCTTGTTTCTGGTGTTTATCAATTGGGTGCGGATTCTTTTCCAAAAGATACCCCTCCTTATCAATTTCCCTAAAGACGGTCAGTGAGGCCTGGCTGCTTACAAAAACGGGAAAATATATTTCTGTGCTGCAATCTGTACTGCAGCTTGGCAGATCAACAGCTAAGCTTGGCATCCGCTGCAAACCCGGCATGCTGTCTAGGAGCCACATCTGCTTTCGCCGCAAAAAGATGAGGCGGGCTGGGATTTGAGGCAAAGCATTCACCAGGCAAAGCATTCACCCTCCGACAACGACACTCTACAAAACTGCCTAGCTGCTGTACTCGAATTCTCAGTGTCAATGTCTGCGGAGGAGTACAAATGTTGCCAATCCGCAAATCCCAGCGCAAAGTGCCATGCTTACACCATTGCAAGGTACCTCGCTCTTTCGCGCATGCCCAAACCAAACCCTGCGGATTTTCCAATATGGGGAACAGTGTTGAAAATTGTTGGTGGGGACAAATCTTGGTATGTCCACCAAAGGGTTCCAAGTTCAATTTCGTACCCAGAGAGGTCTTGTGCAACTTCCATCCTGCTTGGATCACTAGGCTTCCCCTGGCCCAGACAGGGGCCTGTCTTGTGTCCACGAACAGTCCTGTTGGGTAGCGTTTTCTCAGCCTTGTGCCACGCTTTTGAAAAAAGCCACCGCCTGCCTCCACATCTCGCAGCAGTTGCAAGTTCTCTTGTAACCTGGCGTGCACAAGCTCCCTGCCATTGTCCTTTTGCTTGAGGCCTCCTTGGCTTTACGAGCAAGTTGGAGCAGCGCAATGCTCGGCCCATTTCTTTCCATGTCCTGCTTGAATGCCCTTCCCTTTCATCGGCCATGCTCAAGTTGTGGCAGGGCGGCGTGACTGCGTCCTGATGGCACGTTGCGCAGGTGACCGCACCAACTGCTCAACAAGGGGTTCCAAATGCTCCCAATTCGGCGCAAGGGTACTTTGTAGCTAGCTAACACCAATTGCACTAGCTGAGTCATAGCTTGAAACTCCGGTATCAAAGGAAAGTATCAAGTCATGCACAGAATCACAAGAGCAGCTGCCTCTATTTACATTTCGCAATGACACTAATACGCAGCACGACTTGGTGGGGAATCCACGGCGCGGGCTGTTTATATATCCATTTTCTGCCGAGCAAATGATCCATCTGTTAGGACTTGGCCCTTCTCGAACAGATCGTCAGGACGGAATGCCGATGGAACCAGAAACTCCATCTTCAGCCGGCGCGCCACACATGGGCAAAGGTCTGAGGGTGCCAGAGGTTGCCTTTTTCTCATGCTTCAAAACAACAGGCAAGGCCAGTAGCCCAACCTAAGTAAAGTCTTCATGTGCCTTGATCAAGGCCGAAGTCCACAAACAAGTTTCAAGAGGAGCGGGTAGATTTCCCCTCACACCTTCCCCACGTGGATGGCGCGCTTGCAGCTCTCTTTGTGCTCATGTCGCAATATCGAACTTGCCATCAGTGCCATAGGCAGAGTGACAGTTCAATGCAGGCTTTGCCAGATTTCGTTCAAGGCTTTCAGATGCAAGGAAAGGAACCGGGAAGTCGGCGGTGAATGCCAACAAAACCGCAAAGCCTGCATAGAAAAACAGTGAAACCAAGCAAAGCCGAGATGCCAAGCGTTGCGTCTCGTCTTCTGGTTGTGGCTGATGCAGCCAGAAGAAGTTAGTCTCTCTCGTCATAAACAAGACACGAGCTGGCCTGCTTGAACTTTGGCAATGGAATGAGCATCATGGGTGCACGTCAATGGCACTTCGCTCCGCCTGCACATTCAAGTGGCAGCAGCTCTCGCTCGGAGCGCCTGCCTTCGTTGCTGCATCGTTGCAGGAAAAGCCCCTGGTTGCTACTTCACTCTAAGTGAGACGAGCTAGTGCATGACTGCATCAAATTTCCAGGCTTGGCACGATCTACGAGTACAAGCGGGGCAGCGACGTGGCTCTACCAAACCTGGCAGGCAAAGCAGCATAGACACGCCAACTCCCATGCTGATGTCGGGTTGCAACACGTGGAGTCGCTGACCTTTGGAAACGTGCTCGCCTAGATCACATCCCAAGGAGCTCCGCAACTTCTGTGACTCCTTCCCTGAGCGAGGCAGAAAGCAGAAACTTTGTCCTGAATGCTTGGACAGAAAGACATAAGTTTAGCCCAGTTCAGCCACAAGCCGGGCCCATGCGACATCTGCTAGCGGAAGAACAAAAAAACTTCCATCGTGTCCACAGCACCCCCTCAAGTACAACGCTCGGTTCGCGGCTGCCATTGGGCTTGCGAACCGAAAAGTTTGCGGTTTTAAGTCACTACGGGAAGTGTGTTTCAAGATCAGTGTAAGCATGTGGCGATGAGACACTGCAGGCTTCAAAAAGTGGGATTTCATTTAAAGCCGACCAGAATAGCCGTGGTTGGTTCTCGCTTGGCTGGCTTCCGCCCCATCCAGTCCCTTTCCGAGGGAGCGGCGCTGTGCCCTGGATGGCTTCCAGTGTCTCTGCGCTTGTTGTCTCCAGGCCACTCCTTGGTCGAAAGGGACCGCACTAATTGGTGTTTTGGTTTAGCCCTATGATTGCCTGCGGGCTATCGCCTGCCGTCTCAAGAATAATGTTACTTTCCTTTTCCTTCTGGTTTCCTTTGCTTCCTTTTGCTTTTCCTTGAATAGAAAAGGGGCTAGACTGCAGCTCTTTGCCCAGGCAATGAGCTCGCCAAAACTGGGGGCCGGATCCGGAAAAGGGCAACGGCAGGTTCATCCATGCATGTAAAAACAAGAGCCCAGCAATTGATGTGGAAATGGAGGGGGAAGCTCCCTCAACCTTTCGCGTGTTGAAAGCCACATCGGGTGATAAGAATGCAAGGCTCCAGCCCAACAAGTTTCAGGCCGGCCACCCGTTCATTTCCCCCGGAGCAAAGAGCACTCAACCCGAGCCGTGTGCCGCAGACTTGGCCCCCCCCGACCCGAACCTGAACGACTGACCAGGTCGTTTGCAGCTGAGCAGCAGGTGAAGATGCATTTTCACCTGAGCCCCGAAACTTGAACTCCTGAAGCTCATTGAGTTCAGTTTGACCAACGACCTCAACACAGCCCTTGGCCGGGAAACAAACACAGCAGACATCGAGGCAAATGAGCCAGGTCGCATTGATTGTGCCCCAATCGCTCTCGAACTGGAATGGCCCAGGAATGGCCAGGCCTGCCAAGAGTGCAGGTAACGGATTCCCGACCCTAGGTGTCCTTTTGACACCAATTGATGGCACTGGTAGAGCTGACGTGAGAAGCAAAATGTTCCCACCGCAGAAGAACATGTTCTCCCGCTGCCAGGGCCAAACGCAAACTCGATGAGGTTTCAGCCGCCCTTGAAAGGACTGGCGCTTCAAGGCTTTCCTGTTGCCTGAAGCTTCAAGCGCCTCTCCTTTCTGACACGGTGTGAGAAGCGTCGCGATCTTTGTTGGTAGCTCGGGTCTGCACGACTCTACAGCCTGGCCTTCTCAAACGTAAAAAAGTTTGTGCAGCTCAACGCAACCTTCAAGCGCCCCATCTACTTCCGCCTCCGATCACTTGCCATTGTGCCCCATCTGACTGTCTGGTCTGGTCAGCAACGAGATTGCGTAGCTACTTCTTGACGCCTCCGTGGGAATCTACTTCTGCACAGTGCCTCTTAAATTGGCCACGCGCTGATTCAGGGATCACAAGGCCTCAGGACGAACGCATCGCTGCATAGCTTGCGCGCTTCGGACTTCGGCTCCAACAGTTCTCCGTTAGTCGGCAGACTTTGGCTCCGCGGCACACGCGGTGGCCACGGGAGGACACTACATGTGTTTGGGGAGACCTTCACCTATCATTGACGCAAAACAATTCGGTGATGGGCTCTGTGAGAGTATGCTTTCCTTGGCTTTGTGTCGCACAGAAGTCATGCCATTGCGCCCACCCCCTCTGCCAGGATGCCCACAGCAAGAGGCACGCTCTACCCATGCCTGGCATGGTCTTCCCGCACCTAAGCCCTGTGTACAGCAGTGACCCCGCCTGGCTTTTTCTTCAGATCCGACATTAAGATCTGGCGCGACGAAAAAGCGCTGGGCGATCCGACGAACGGCCTTTTCGAAAGATAGGGCACAAGTTTTCTATGTGGGTGTCTAAACTCGGAAGAACCTTTCTGTTTCTGGGTCTTGATAGCACAAGCTGTCCCGGCATTCTTCCCGGGGAACTGGTAGTTGTGACTGTGGATGAAATGGGTGCGAAATAACACTTGGAGACCTTCAGCCACATCATTTTTGGTGGGGATTTGTGTCCACCCAGCCCAGCACTTGTGAGGTGGTCCCCTGTTAAAATTCATGGCTGAAAAACTAGCCACATAAACCATAAATAATGACAATTGCTAGAACTCCTAGTTTGCCAGGAATACCTGTCAGCAGTTCACAGAAGATCATTGCTAACCTGAAAGGCCTGGGTGGTCATTGGTGCAGGCTCTTTGCCCTTCTTGTGCCAGCCTAGATCTACCGATTGTCAAATTCTGCAAATCTCTGGTCCAGCACTCCGCAAAACTTGAGCCCAGCCATCAGGTTTATTAGGCAACCAAAGAGCAAAACAAAAAGCCACGTTGCCAACGGTGCACTTAAACTCAAAACCTAACTGACTTGAAGGGTTCAAAAGGTACCTGTTGCGAGAATACGTCTGACCGCTTGACTGTGTTTTTTGTTTGCTGCTTTGTTACAGCCCTGAACCAGTTTGACTTCGTGTAAACAAGGAGCCCCAAAGCAGCGCTGCAGAGGAATGATCTTGGGAACCCCCTTTGGGAATTTGGATCACATTGCTTTGCTCGAATTAGCACAGTGACCGAAGGGCGAGTTGCTGACAGGGCGCTGTCTGGGTGGCAATCACACCATTGGCCTGGCAGCGATACCCCCAAGCATAAGCATGCCGCGTCGAAAGTGATACAAATGGTGTCCTCCATCAAACATGCTCCCAAATTTGCTTGCAAATCCCTAGAAGGCTGCCTTGGCAACCAGAAAACACCGCCTCAGACCCTCGACATGAAGTCGGATGGAGCTTCTCAAAGGCTGGCGGCTGCACGTCATCGCTTTCTTTGGGCGAGTCCGGCGTCTCGTTGTTGGACTGTTTGGCTTCTTTCTTCTTCAGCCTTGGCAAAAGAACTGAGTCTCTGATCTCATTTGGGTTGTTGAAAGCAGGGATCCTTCTTGGGACCCACGAGAGAAAGGCGGGCCGGGCCAGCTAGTTTGGCAATCTGTCTCTCATTTCTCCTATGAAGACCCTGTTGAACACCTGTGCGCCAGTTTCAAAGCAGAGGGATGTAACATCCCAAGAGCGAAGCTGTCCATCCCATTACCTCCTTAACCTCCCAATGATGCCGAGTTGCTGGTCCAGGACCTCCAAGTCAACCTGAGCTGGACTGAGATTAAATTGTGTGTGTGTGTGTCTGTGCGTGGTTCTGTGTTCGTGTTTTCGTGCGCGCGGGCGTGTTTGTATGTGTTTGTGTGTTTGTGTGTGCTTGTGTGTCTGTGTGTCTGTGTGTCTGTGTGCGTCTGTTTGTCTGATTGTCTGCTGTTGGTGTGTGTGTGTGTGGTTGTGTCTCTGCGCATCGCTGTGTGTCTGTGTGTTTGTGGTTTTGGTGTTTGTGTGCGCGTGTATCTGTGTGTGTGTGCATATGTGTGTGTGTGTGTGTGTGCGTGTTTGTGCGTTTGTGTGCTTGTTTGTTGTGTTTGTGTGTTGTGTGATTGTGTGTTCATGTATCTGTGTGTTTGGGTGTCCGTCTTCTTGTGCGTGTGTGTGTGTGTGTTTGTGTGTCTGTGTTTCTGCGCATGCGCATGCAGCTTAGTTTGTCTGTGCTTGTCAGCGCGCGCGCATTCGAGTTGGTTTGCCTGCGCTTGTGTGTGTGTGCGCGTGCGCGTGTGCGTGCGTGTTCCTGTGCAAGCAGTTGTGCTTTGCGCGTGTTCGCGCGCACTCGCCTGAGAACATATGCGCGGGTCTGCGCGCGCTCGTGCGCGTGCGGGCGTGCGAGTGCGCACGCAAGTGGGCGTGTGTATGTGTGTGTGTGTGTTGCGTGTTTCTGTGTGTGCTCGTGCGCTTGTGTGTGTGTCTGTTTGCATTGGTGTGTTTTTGTTCGTGTGTTTGTGTGTTCGTGCGTATGTTTGTCGTGTGTGTGTTTGTGTGTTTGTGCACCTTTGCGATTGTGTGTGTTTGTTTATGCGTGTTTGCATGTGTGTGTGGTTGTGTGGTTGTTTGTGTGTGTGTGTGTGTCTTTGCATTTGTGTGCTTGTGTGTGTTGGTGCGTCGGTGTTGGTGTTTGCGCGTGTGTGCGTGTTTGTGCGTTTGTGCTTGTGTTTGTGTTTGAGTGTTGGTGTGTGTGTGTGTTTGTACGTGCCTGTGCTTGTGGCTGGTTTGTGCTTGCGCGCGTTTGTCTATATGATTGAACTGTTTTTGCGCGCGGTTGTTGCGGGCGCGTTTGCGCATTGGCGTGCGCGTGTGTGTGTGTGTGTGTGTGCGTGTGTGTGTGTGTGCGTGTGTGTGTGTGTGTGTGTGCGTGTGTGTGTGTGTGTGCGTGCGTGCGTGCGTGCGTGCGTGCGTGTGTGTGTGTGTGCGTGCGTGCGTGCGTGCGTGCGTGTGTGTGTGTGTGTGGGTGTGTGTGTGTGGGTGTGCGTGCGTGTGTGCGTGCGTGTGTGCGTGCGTGTGTACGTGCGTGTGTGCGTGCGTGTGTGCGGGTGTGTGTGTGGGCGTGTGTGTGTGTGTGTGTGTGCGTGTGTGTGTGTGTGTGCGTGTGCGCATGGCGCGGTGCAGGCATATGCGTGCTGTGCGTGCGCGTGTGTGTGTGTGTGTGTGTGTGTGTGGGTGTGCGTGCGTGCGTGCGTGTGTGTGTGCGTGCGTGTGTGTGTGTGTGTGTGTCTGTGTGTGTGTGTCTGTGTCTGTGTGTGTGTGTCTGTGTGTGTCTGTGTGTGTGTGTCTGTGTGTGTGTGTGTGTGTGTGTGTGTGTGTGTGTGTGTGTCTGTGTGTGTGTGTGTCTGTGTGTGTGTGTGTGTGTGTGTGTCTGTGTGTGTGTGTGTGTGTGTGTGTGTGTCTGTGTGTGTGTCTGTGTGTGTGTGTGTGTGTGTGTGTGTGTGTGTGTGTGTGTGTGTGTGTGTGTGTGTGTGTGTGTGTGTGTGTGTGTGTGTGTGTGTGTGTGTGTGTGTGTGTGTGTGTGTGTGTGTGTGTGTGTGTGTGTGTGTGTGTGTGTGTGTGTGTGTGTGTGTGTGTGTGTGTGTGTGTGTTTGTTTGTGTGTGTGTTTGTGTGTGTGTGTGTGTGTTTGTGTGTGTGTGTTTGTGTGTGTGTGTGTTTGTGTGTGTGTGTGTTTGTGTGTGCGTGTTTGTGTGTGTGTGTGTTTGTGTGTGTGTTTGTGTGTGTTCGTGCTCGTGTTCGTGCTCGTGTTCGTGCTCGTGTTCGTGCTCGTGTTCGTGCTCGTGCTCGTGCTCGTGTTCGTGTTCGTGTTCGTGTTCGTGTTCGTGTTCGTGTTCGTGTTCGTGTTCGTGTTCGTGTTCGTGTTCGTGTTCGTGTTCGTGTTCGTGTTCGTGTTCGTGTTCGTGTTCGTGTTCGTGTTCGTGTTCGTGTTCGTCTTTGTGTTTGTGTTTGTGTTGTGTGTGTGTTTGTGTTCGCGCACGCATGTTTGCGTTCGCGGTGTTCGTGGGTCGGTGTGTGTGCGCATTGTTGTTTGTGTTTGCGCGTGTGTCTACATGATGGTGTGTTTGTGAGCTGCGCGTTTGTGGGTATGACTGTGGGTGTCTGCGGGCGTCAGTGCGTGTGTGTTGGTGTGTCTGTGCGTCGGTGTGTGTGTGTGTGCGTACGGTTGTGTGTGTGTTTGCGTTTGATGCGATTGAAAAAGTACCTCTGCTTGTTTGCCGCGTGCATTTGCGCACGCCGGCGTACGGAGTTTGTGTTTGTTTGCGCGCGCATGTGGCTCTGTGTGTGTGTGCTTGCGTGTGTTTGGCGCGGTCGAGCCCGTTTTTGTGTGTTTGCGTGCGATTGTGTGGGTGAGTTTGTGGCGCCGTTTGCGTACGCTTCTGCGCGCGCGCAAGTGTGTGGTTGCGTGTGCGCGGTGTGTGTGTGTGTGCGCGCGCGCCTGTGAGTGTGTGGCGCTGTTTGCGTTCCTTTTCCGTGTGTGCGCGCGTTTTGCGGCGCGGTTTGCGAGTGTTTGTGTGTGTGTGTGCGTGTGTGTGCGTGTGTGTGTGGTTGTGTGCGCGCAGTGCACGTGTGCGCTTGTGCGTGCGCGCGCATGTGCGTGTGCGTGTGCGCGCGCGTGCGCGCGCACGGGGGCATGCGGGCGAACGAACATGCGGGGCGTGCGGGCGGGCGGGCGTGCGCGCGCACGTGCGTGCGTGCGCGCGTGTGTGTGTGTGTGTGTGTGTGTGTGTGCGTCGCTGTGTGTGCGTGTGTGTCTGTGTTTGTGTTTGTGTCTTTGGCGTGTGTGTGTGTGTGTGTGCGCGTGTGTGTTTGTGTGTCTGTGGCGCAACTTGCGTCTTCTCAGCGCGTTTTTGCGTTTGTGGCATTTGCGTGTGTTTCTGTGTGTGTGTGTGTTGGCTTGTGTGTGTGTGTTGCGAGCGTGTTTGTGTGTTTGTGCGCGTGCTTGGCTGTGCTTTTGCGTGTCTGTGTGTGTGTGTTTGTGTGTGTGCTTCTTCGAGTGTTTGCGAGTGTGTGTGTGTGTGTTTGTGTGTGGTTGTGCGCGTGTGTGTGTGTTTGTGTGTGGTTGTGCGCGTGTGTGTGTGTTTGTGTGTTGCGTGTGTGTGTGTGTGTTTGTTTGTGCGTGTTTGCGTGTTTGTGTGTGCGTGTGTTTGTGTGTTTGTGTGCGTGCTTGGTTGTTTGTTTGTTTGCCTTCTTGATCGCTTGCTTGCTGGCTTGTTTGTGTGCGCGCGCTTGTTTGTCTGACTGTCTGTCCGTCAGGCTGTCTGTCTGTCTGTGTTGATGTGCTTGTGCGTGTGTCTGTGTGTGGTTGGTTTGCGTTTGCGTATGTTTGTGTGCGTTTCTTGTTCGCGCGCATGTGTATGTTCAGTTGTGTGCGAGCATGTGTGTGCGCGCACTTGTTTGTGCGCGCGTTTGTGTTTGATTGTGTTCTTGTGTAAATGGGTTGTGCGTGTGTGCGCGGGTGTCTTTGTGTGTGTGGTGCGTGTGTGTGCGTGTGTGTCTTTGCTTGTTTTTGTTTTGGCTTGCTTGTTTGCTTGCTTGTTTGTTTGTTTGATTGCTGTTTGATTGCTTTTGCTTGTTTTTTGCTTGATTGATTGTTTGTTTGTGTGTGTGTTCGTGCGCGTGTGCGTGCGCGCGTCTTCGTGCGCGTGTGCGTGTGCGTGGGCGTGCGCCTGCGCCTGTGCCTGTGCATGCGCGCGCGTGTGCGCGCGCACAGGGGCATGCGGGCGTGCAGGCATGCGGGGCGTGCAGGCATGCGGGGCGTGCATGCGTGCGTGCGTGCGTGCGTGCGTGCGGGCGGGCGGGCGGGCGGGCGTGCGTGTGTGTGTGTGTGTGTGTGTGCGTGTGCGTGTGTGTGTGGTTGTCTGTGTGTGTGTGTGTTTATCTGTGTTTTTGTTTGTGTGTGTTTTGCGTTTGTGGCGCTGTTTGCGTGTGTTTCTCTGTGTGTGCGTTGGCTTGTGTGCGTTGCACGTGTGTTTGTGTGTGTGTGTTTGTGTGCGTGTTTGAGTGTTGTCTTTGCGTGTGTGTGTGTGTATGTGTGTGTTTGTGTGTCTTTTGAGTGTTTGTGGGTGTGGTTGTGTTGCGTGTGTTTGGTTGTGTGTTTGTTTGCTGGTTTGGTTCATTGCTTGCTGGCTTGTTTGTTTGCGCCTGCTTGTTTGTCTGACTGTCTGTCTGGCTGTCTGTCTGTCTCTCTGTGTTGATGCGCTTGTGTGTGTGTTTGTGTGCTTTTGTGTTTGTTCAGTTGTGTGCGTGTGTATGTGTGTGTGCGCGCGCACTCGTTTGTGTGTGCGTGTGTCTGTGTGTGCGTGTTTGTGTGAATGGATTCTGTGTGTGTGCGTGTGTGCTTGTTTGTGTGTGGTGTGTGTGTGTGTATGTTTGGTTTGTTTGGTTGCTTGATTGTTTGATTGTTTGCTTGTTTGCTTGTTTTCTTGTTTGCTTGTTTGTTGTTTGTTCGATTGTTTAGTTGGTTGTTTGTTTGACTGTTTGTTTGCTTGTTTGTCTGGTTGCTTGCTTGCTTGCTTGCTTGCTTGCTTGCTTGCTTGCTTGCTTGCTTGCTTGCTTGCTTGCTTGCTTGCTTGCTTGCTTGCTTGCCTGCCTGTTTGTTTGTTCGTTTGTTTGTGCGCGTGTGCCTGTGCCCGTGCGTGCGCCTGTGCCTGCGCGTGTGCGTACGCGTGTGCGAGCGCGTGCGCATGCGCGTGTGCGTGCGCGTGTGCCTGCGCCTGCGCCTGCGCCTGCGCCTGCGCCTGCGCCTGCGCCTGCGCCTGGGCCTGCGCCTGCGCCTGTGTGCGCGTGCGTGTGCGTGTGCGTGTGCATGTCTGTTTGCGTGCGCGCGGGCGCGCGTGTGCGTGGGCGTGCGCGTGCGCGTGCTCGTGTGCGCGCGCGTGCGTGCGCGTGTACCTGTGCGTGTGCGTGCGCGTGTGCGTGTGCGTGTGCATGTGCGTGTGCGTGTGCATGTGCGTGTGCGTGTGCGTGTGCGTGTGCGTGTGCATGTGCGCGTGCGTGTGCGTGTGCGTGTGCGTGTGCGTGTGCGTGCGCGTGTGCGTGTGCGTGTGCGTGTGCGTGTGCTTGTGGGTGAGGGCGTGTGTGCGTGTGCGTGTGCGTGTGCGCGCGCGTGTGCGTTTGGGGGTGTGTGTGGGTGTGGGTGTGGGTGTGTGTGGGTGTGTGGGTGTGCGGGTGTGTTTTAGGTGTGGTTGCGCGCGCTTCTTTTTTGTGTTTGTGTGCATTTGTGTGCATTTGCGCGCACACTTCTGTGTGTGTGTGTGTGTGTTTGTGAGTTTGTGTGTGTGTGTGTGTGTTGGCGAATATTGGTGTTTGTGTGTTTCTGTGTGTTTGTGCGTTTGCTTGTTTGTGTTTGTACGTCTGTGTTTTTGGGTTTGTGTGTTTGTCCGCTTTCGTGCTTGGTTGTTTGCGCGCTTGCTTGTTTGTTTCCTTGCTCGACTGCTTGGCTGGTAGATTGTTTGCTTTTTGGGGTTTACCCTTGTCAGGTTGGTCTACGGGGAAACCAAAAGACAAAACACCATTTTCGGGGTCCGTTCACTCACCGAGTCACCAGAGACAGCGTGAGCTCCTCTAGCAAGCTGTCCTCTGGCATCACCACGAAGTGACTCAGCGGCAAAACTTGATCGGCACAGGGCTGGTGATTTGTCAGATTCCAGGCCCAACCCAGGCATGGCTGCATGCGTGTATGTACAAATATATACTTTTACAAACAAACATATCTGTATAGACATAGATGTATGCATATATATATATATACATACATATATGCACTGCATCTACCAGCGTCCAAAGCGCTCGGGTCAAAGAGCAAACCAAATCGGAGACTGGGTTCAAGATCAAATCAGTCACTCGGACATGGCATTTGTTTGGCGGAACTGCGTGGGGTGTTGAGGGCAAACGATCCTCCAAGGAAAAAAGGAGGGCAGTGCGAGTAACCCTCCAAGAATGTATCTCCGCACAGCCCAACTCTCCCCTCCTCCATACCCTACAAGCCAAACACTGGAGAACACCATGCACACAGAACATGCAATACCAACCCACGTTCACTCAAGTTGAAACCAAGCACAAGAAGAGGTAGACAAGGGCAAGTGATGATGTTGGTGTGATGCGCAGTGTAGCAAGCGCACATCAAAAATATAAATCAAATTGTTGATCCATCAAGCGCATGCGTAAATTCCCCAAGCGGGTTTTACGGCAGAGACCCTGCCCATGCAAGAAGGCTACGTCTGGTTCCCAGAGTTCCGCCATATACGTATGTATTTATGTATGTACGTATGCATGTATGTATGTGTACGTATGTATGCGTACGTATGCACGTATGTCTGTATCTATGTGAATGTGTATGTGCATGTGTATGTGTATGTGTATGTGAATATGTATTTGTATATGTATATGTATATGTATTTGTATATGTATATGTATATGTACGTATGACGGTATGTATGTATGTGTATGTGTTTGTGTATGTATATGTGTATGTGTATGTGCATGTGTATGTGTGTGTGTATGTGTGTGTATGTGTATGTGTATGTGTATGTGTATGTGTATGTGTATGTGTATGTATATGTGTATGTATGTACGTATGTAGGTATGTATGTACGTACGTATGTGTGCATGTATGCATGTATCTATGTATGTATGTATGTATGTATGTATGTGTGTATGGATGCATGTATGCATGCAAATATGTATGTATGTATGTATGTATGTATGTATGTATGTATGTATGTATGTATGTATGTGTTTGCATGTGTGTATGCAAAAAAAAAAGTACGTAAAAAAAGGATGTATGTATGCATGTATGTATGTTTGTAGGTATGTATGTGTGTACATGTGTACATATGTACGTATGTATGTATGTATGTATGTATGTATGTATGTATGTATGTATGTATGTATGTATGTATGTATGTATGTGTATGTATATGTATATGTATATGTATATGTATATGTATATGTATATGTATATGTAGATTAATATGTATATGTATATGTATATGTGTATGTATATGTATATGTATACGTAAAGGTATATATGTATGTACGTACGTACGTACGTACGTATGTATGTATGTGTGTGTATGTGTGTATGTATGTACGTACGTACGTACGTATGTATGGTCCCGTGTTCCGTGTTGCTACCCCCCTCCCCATATGGTATGGGTCCCCCAGGACCCTCCCCCCCGGCCAGAGCCCCCGGATCCTGTCACCTACGGTCCCACCCCCACCCCGACCCCCTGAACTCGCACCCCGACACCCCGGCACCCCCACCCCCAGGACAAGCCAACCCGCAACCAACCATAAACCAACCCTAAACTAACCCTAAACTAACCCTAAACGAACCGTAAACACCCTCTAAACCAAACCCTAAACCGTAGACCTCTAAACCTAAATGAACCCTAAATCAACATAAGCCAACCGTAAACTAACCCTAAACCAACCCTAAACTAACCCCAAACGCACCCTAAACCAATCCCTAAACAATAAACCCTAAACCTAAGCCAACCCTAAACCAACCCTAAACCAACCCTAAACTAACCCTAAACCAACCCTAAATACACCCTAAACCAAACCCTAAACCGTAAACCTAAACCAACCCTAAACCAACCAGCCCTACACCAACCCTAAACTAACCCTAAATACACCCTAAATATACCCTAAACCAATTCTAAACCCTAAACCACCACAACCCAACAACAGGACCACAACCACAGGGGGGGGGGGGTACTTGTCTGACCCATGACCATTGGGGGGGGCTGGGAACGCATGTATGTGTATGTATATGTATATGTATATGTATATGTATGTGTATGTATGTATGTATGTATGTATGTATGTATGTATGTATGTATGTATGTATGTATGTATGTATGTATATGTATGTATGTACATGTATGTATGTATGTATGTATGTATGTATGTATGTATGTATGTATGTATGTATGTATGTATGTATATGTATGTATGTATGTATGTATGTATGTATGTATGTATGTATGTATGTATGTATGTATGTATGTATGTATGTATGTATGTATGTATGTATGTATGTATGTATGCATGTATGTATGTATGTATGCATGCATGCATGTATGTATGTATGTCTGTATGTGTGTATGCATGTATGTATGTATGTATGTATGTATGTACGTACGTACGTACGTACGTACGTACGTATGTGTGTATACACGTATATTCGTACGTATACAGCTCACATATGCATAATCTATAGTTATATATGGGGAGGTGTCAACCCGTGCAGTTGTATACATGTTATGTACATATGTGCATATACATATGTAATATCTCATCTATATATGTACATACAGCGTGATACCCCCTCCCCCCCCCCCCACCCCCACCCCAACTGTGGAGTCTAGCTGTCGTGGCCCACCTTTCTTTTTGTTACATGCTGTAATGTACTTTGTTGCATGCGTAAGTTTTGAGCATTCCTCATCTTTAGCCAGAAAGGCCCACCTCATGTTGCCCAAAGCATGGCAGCGGGAGGCTTGGCGGGTGGGGTCACTCAGCCAAAAAGGACCGCAACCCAGCTTTTGACCTTTTGATTTGCCCAGGACCGCATGAGAGTAAGGACATCCATTTTCTGGGCCCACAGTTGCAACAAGTCGCATGGACCGGTTGATGGCCATGCGCGAGTTCTGCAGAGAGGTGAGGTCCAGCACCTCGAGTCCAACGAAACGAACTGAGCGAGCCTTGCGGGAAGGTGGGTGTTTTTTGCAAACAGTGTGTCTATTCCAAGGGTCTCTCACGGTAGGGGTAAAAGCAGGGTGCTCGATCCGAATGCTCGCTCTGGGCTGGGCGTTTCGTCCGCAGGCTCGCGCAAAAGTTCCCTTGCAAGATGTCGACTGCGCAGGGTCGCACAAAGCGTGGGCGAATTTTTGGCGTCTTCCAAGGGTGCGGCCTCCCTGTGGCACCGTGCGAATTCTGGAAGTGGAGGATTGGTGCACCCTCTGCGGATTTTGGGCATGTTGGTGGCGCGGTGCCAATTTTTACATCGAGATCCAGCTTCTGCGGACTCTTGAACTCGCTCTCTTGGTGACACGGTGCGCATTTTGAACATCGACTGTGACGCCTCTGGATTCTTGAGCCATTCCCTTGACATCAAAAACACAAAATCGAACATACAACAGAAACGCGTCAGCTGAGTATGTGGGCTGTTCAATCCAACTGCGAGGGTGCACTTTGCGAACCATTTTCGCACTTATAAAGGTTGCGAACGACTCTTTGCAGCTAAAAGTCTGCTATTCGACACTTGGTTTAGTGTTACACTTTCCACGCTCCAGTTGCGGGAGCATGCTCCGCATACTGCTTTCGTGGATTGCTTGAAAGTTTCAATTTGCGTTTCAGCTGCAAAAGTGACTGCTTTTGCCGGAACAGCTACGATTTCCACGCCACAGCTGGAAAAGTGCCCTTCGCTCACTGAAGCGGGTGGTTTCCATTGGGTTTCCCATGAAAAAAACCCAAACACAGTAATTACTCCGGCAAAAAACAAAAAGACACGCCCGTTTGCCATGCCACAGGCAAGTCAAAAAGTTTGCACGACAATTCCACATGTTCATTCCCAATTCATCTGACCCGTGGCTCTTGTCTCCCAAAACCTCACTCTCTGGCATCTGGGTTTGGCCCAGGCTGTGGTAACAATCGCAGAAAGAATCGAGAGGGTTGAGCCAAAACATGTCATTCGCTTTGAGTAAGGGGTTCAACAAGAACCAAGCTCTCGCTCGGCTGCGCCTTGCCGATTTTCTCGTCCGCAACGCCTGGGCAGCTGGCAGCAAACTGGCCCCTTACGGTTTGTTTCTTCCTGAATGTTGGTCCTGAAAGTTGCAGCTGCATGTTGCTGCTGCATGTTGCTGCTTCTGCTTCCGCGGCTGCTGCTGTTGTTGCTCTTGCTGTTCTTGCTGTTCTTGCTGTTCTTGCTGTTGTTGCTGTTGTTGCTGCTGCTGCTGCTGCTGTGTTGTGGTTGTTGTTGTTGTTGTTGCTGTTGCTGCTGCTGCTGCTGCTGCTGCCGCTGCCGCTGCTGCGGCTGCTGTTGTTGCTGTTGTTGCTGTTGCTGTTGCTGTTGCTGTTGCTGCTGCTTTTGTTGTTGTTGTCGTTCAGCGTTGAGCACCTCCCACCCCACTCAGCTCGCGTGCCTGCCGCTTCCATGTTCTCCTGGATCTTCTTGAGCATGGCCTACAAAGAAGCCCGACAGAATAGACGCACTGCGTTCATTGCGCAGGTTCCCCGAGGGGTCAAGCAGCATCTTCGACTTGCGCAACGACGCTGCTCGCCAAACAAGCGGTTGATTGGTTTTTGCATGTTTGTTTGTTTCTTTGTGTGTCTGTTTGCTTGCTTATAAGTATGTGTCTGTGTGTGTGTCTGTATGTGTGTGTGCATGTGCGTGATGTCTGTGTATGTAGACATGTGTATGTATGTGCGTATGTATGTGCGTATGTATGTATGTATGTATGGAAGTATGTACGTACGTACGTACGTATGTGTGTATGTGTGTCCGCCTGTCTGTCTGTCTGTCTGTCTGTCGGTCGGTCGGTCTGTCTGTCTGTCTGCCTGTCTGAATGCATGTGTGTATGTACGTATGTATGTCTGTATGTCATGTATGTAATGTATGTAATGTAATGCAACGTAATGTAATGTAATGTAATGCAATGTAATGTAATGTAATGTAGCTTAAGGTACGGTAAGGTAAGGTAATGTATATATGTATGTATGTGCGTACGTATGTACGTACGTATGTATGTGTGTGTGTGTGTCTGCACGTATGTGTGTGTGTGTGTAAAGTAGATGTGTGTATGTGTATGTCTGTGTATGTGCGTGTGGCTGTCTGTATGTGCGTGCGCATGCATGCATGTACCTGCGAGCGTGTCTGCATCTGTACATGTGTGTGTGTGCGTGCGTGCGTGTGTGTGTGTGTGCGCGTGCACGTGTGTGCGCGCGTGCTTTTGTACGTACGCAAGTGTGTGTGTGTGTGCGCATACGCACGCAAGCGCACGCATGTAGGTACCCGTGCTTTCGTGGGCGTGCTTTCGTGTGTGCGTGTGCGCACGTGCGCCCGCATACTCGCGCGCATGGATGTGTGCACGCAGCGTTTTGCGCAAGTGCGCTTCAACGTACTTCGCACGAGCTCACGCGTCTCTGCAAGAATAGATGCGTGCGTGCGCGCCCACATGCGACGTGTGTAGGTGTGTGGCTGTGTATGCGCGCGCAGGCATGCGCGTATATACTTGCATATGCGCGCGCACGCACGCGCGCACGCGCGTGCGTTTGTGCATAAATGCGCGCATGCGTGTGAAAGAACGTACGCACGCACACATGTGTGAATGTACGTGTCTGCGCATGGAGGGGGATGTACATCCGTGCTCGTGCGTGTGTGAACGTGTGTGGAGGCGCGTGCGCGTGTGCGCGGAGGCTGCGCAGGTGTGTGCGTGTGTGTGTGTGTGTGTGTGTGTGTGTGTGTGTGTGTGTGTGTGTGTGTGTGTGTGTGTGTGTGTGTGTGTGTGTGTGTGTGTGTGTGTGTGTGTGCGTGTTTTTGGTGTGGTGTGTGTGTGTTTTTGGTGTGGTGTGTGTGTGTTTGTGTGTATGTGTGTGTGTGTGTTTGTGTGTGTGTGTTGGTGTGT